CACGACTTGCGGTTCGCTGTTATCTCCATCAATTTCACCAAATGACCAGATAAACGGTCTCTTGGATTCCAGCTTGGAAGACGAGACAAATGATCTACTGACGGTTCTGTGCTATTTTTTCATGCCCATTTTTCCACTTTATTTGTTGGCAACCACGTGAATTTCTCCAGCCCGCAGCGGTGACTGCAAATGGGGCGCGATATGGCGGACTAACGTTAGACACGCACAATACGCGTGCTAACCAATGAAGATTTCAAATCGGAATTCGATGTGAGAACGAATCGATCATTGATACTCTTAAACTCACGAAGGCTTAACTCTTGAGCATCAATTTTCGAAAATCTCTAGTGGATGGATTTCTCCAGCAAGCAAATTGAGGGTTTCAGCTCTAATGAGGAGCTGACCAAACGGTGGCACAAGATACACAAACTTCCAAGTTTAGAAACTAGCTACTGAGGCTGATTGCATAATTTTGTAAACTGCGTCCATGATCGTTAAGACGGATTTGATGATAATGAGATCACACACAGAGAAGGAAAAGCCAATGATTGACACAAGGTTGTACATATGTTCGTCGTTATTCAGCGCTGTTGAAAATCAAACGTGTATTCTACTTGGTACACCGGGTATGTGGTACGCAGTGACTTTGAATCCCTGATTCTAGCCTCATTGAGTTCAATGTGTGGTCTGCTCATAATCATCTGCTGAATAAGGTCTGTATCACAGTGGCTGTCGATGAACATTGAGACTCGTGTGTCTTTTCATTAAACAGGACATACAAGAAGAGTGGGATCAAGGCTGATGTGTAGATGTAGATGTGATGTGTAGACCACATTCTTCACCCTAAAGGTGACTATTTCCTTCTATTTTTCTAATTATTTTCATAAAGTTTAAACTTCCGGATTTTCGCGCCAGGAAAGACTCATTCCGCACCACCGTCTATACTCGACCCCCATTGGTCCATTTTTCTGTGATTCACCACTTTCAAGCTAATTTCCAAGGTTATCGATGGCCGGTCCCCAAATTGTATATAAACGGATGAGCTGCCCGTTTTCTCCGCCTTTTCCGTCGAGCCAAATATACAAACTCGCCTGAAGGCCTTCCTTATTCTTTCTGGTCGGGTTCCGTGGATCGTACTGGTCTGTGGGGCGCTCCTCTCATTACTGTCCGGTCGTGTCTCGTTTGAGGGTACCGCAGTCGGGCATACCGGAATCGCTACTCTATCGCTGGGTCGTACGGTTCTGTTCATGGGCCTCCATTCCCGCACGTATCGCTGGTCGAGGCTCGTGTAGTCCGGTCGTTTCGTTTAGCTCAACGTTACAACAGCTTTGCCATTGTGGCACAAAGACCACCTCAGTGCGATTGGAACGAGTATAGTATAGTATATATAGTAGAGTATAGTATGTACTCAGCTTGTCTGTTTGCTTTCTTTATCAAGTCAACGCGGGCATTGTGCACACTGTGTACCTGACAGAAAATCAGAGAGAAGTTTCCACCAAGTCGACCCTCTCCCCACCCACAGTGGGACTTGTGAGATCACCAAAAGCACTCTAGATGAGCACCGTCTGTTACATATTTTGACTGAAGTGTGAACACTCACTTACAAAAGTTATATGATCAGAATATCTATCACATGATCAATGTGATGATTGACTTTTCTTAGACGAGAGTGCACCTGTTGGAAGCACAACTAACAGATACATTCAAACCTCATTTTGTGGCAAATATGCTACGGATTATAGTGAGACTTGCATACAGACAGTTCATCCTATCTCATCAATGTGGAAAGCTTCATTGCTACTATCACAGGAGTTTTGGGTCATTGTACAAGTTCAAAAATGAAATCAATGCAACCTATCATAACTTTGATAGATTAAGAGCAGTATGTTCACTAGGAGTAAATTTCTCTAGCTGTCCACTAATGATCCGTAAAAGAGATGATAATCGCACGCATATCCTAAGATCGATCGACGTACACTGGATGAAAGGTTGCATACATTGTCCCATTGTGCATGCAGTTCTGATTCACGGTTTCGGATGTAAAAGACATTTATTGATTGGGGCTTTTGGACTGTACGCAGTTTGGTTCAAGTAGGATGGAGAGAGGGGTGAACTATTAAGTGGCTGGTTAGGTTTTAACCGAAAATTTGTTGAGGAAACGATTCCGAATCCGCTGATAGGGGGCACGAATTATGGATGCCTGATGGTCGTCAATTGCATCGCGTTTTGTTTCCAGTTATCGTGTTATGTTGTATCATCATGAAGAAGAAGAGGATATCCTTTAATCTGTACATCAGTTAAATAGTACGGTGAGAGGGCCTACTTTTAGTTCGCCTAAGTCTGATCTGGCTCTACACGAAAGCGGCAGGGCACGTTTGTCGTTCAGTAAAGCAAAAATGATATGATGAATTTTGTCGTGTACAAAGGGAAAGGATGGTGAAATGAAAAGCTAGGAATCACTGAAGAAGTGGTCGAATCTGAGTGGGTCTCAAAAGCAGTGCAAATTCAACGAACCAGTCAGGGATCGACTCTGTAACTCACGGGTAGAAACAGCCATTCAGTGTTTGCCAGCTAATCAGTTCACGCTTAATTTGTTCTCTATAAGAAGATTTCCGTAGATAACCGAATCAAATCCTCCACCACTCATACAACAAATATTTAGGTTAGAGTCATACCTATAGGGGCTAGTGCAGAGATGAGTGCGGTGTGATGGCGGCAACAAACTGGCAAAGGCGGGTTCTGCTCTATAATATCTATGCAAAATGACAAGCGGTATGATAAGCTTCCCGGTGGTGAAGCGGAGAGCATACTTGCATTCCATATATGAGATCCCGAACCTCAGCGGGATCGAAGGAATAGCATTATTGGTGAAATGACAATGTTGAAGCATATGTCCAGTGCTAGAGAGCTTGACAGATAACGCTTCAATTGCTGTTTAGATGAAGAGATTTTCCATACGGTAGAATCGAACCCACTACAACTCTCATAAAACAAGAGCTTTTTACATCACGGAATATGCCCGTTTATCATGAAAACGAACCGTAGATGAACATGTACTTCCAGTGAATACATTCTCAAACGCGCACATTCAGTATCATGAAACAGAATTCATTACTAGCATCAAGAGAAAAGGGGATGCGTGTTGTGTGTTGTCGTAGGCCTGAAACCACGCCAAATTGTCGCAGTGCTAAGATTACGTAATCAAAATTGATTATTTAAATTGTGTTGTTTGGTGAACTTAAATTAAAGCTTAGTAGCCTTGGAGGGTTTCAGAAGAAACGCTTAAACACGGCCTACACTTTGTACAGAGTAAGGTCTACCAACTGACCATCCCAATAACACAGACTATTTCACATTTCGATTAACCATCCAACTTCCGGAGGTATATGGAATACACTAGAGAGCGCGAAAGCTAACCGCTAAACAGGTTTTACCTGTAATCAGTGGAATGAACCCATTAGGCAAGGTATCCTCTTCATACAGCGTACAAAACTGTGTAGGCGGAATCCATGAGTTGATTCGAATCGCAAGGCTACAGAGATTAGCACAGGTCAAACGACAAAATTATCATGCTACAAGTATGTACAAGCAATTTCGTCTTTCTTTAGCGGGGGAATTCGTTTCAATCAATTTTCGTTGTGGGCACAGTTTAGGCTTCACGAGACCGATCTGAATCGCCTGTACGGTCGCTAACGTCCCAAATCGTGTTCTCAAGGGATGTGATGAGACTCAGCAAATGATTGTGAATGCCCAATAAAAGTCAAATTGGCGACAGAATGTGCTTAACACAGCTCCACTCCCACCACGTGTGAGCCGACGTGGATTGCGTTTTTTAATGTGTTGAGATAACTGTCTTCCCTTGCACTACAAGTGCGCTTTAATTGATAGATAATCATGGTTGAGATCACCCCGAGAAGCTTGTCTCTCTTACGGTGTCCGATGTTTGGCTTAGAGGCAGTAAAAATGGACTAAACTGCAGGTGATTCTCTCTCGATGGTCCATACAGGTATCGGTGCGATCCAGTCCAAACAGTGAACCCATAGCAACGTAAGAACCAACATCCAAAGAGAACAGATATTGCTTTTTACAGAAAATACACAAACCTGATAAACCACTGCCCATTTTCCCTATTTTTGTATCTTCCCAGACAACCATTCCATGGCCGTGACCTCCTTCCTGAAAGTTGGCCGTAGATTTGTATATTCAAAAAATAAAAAGGGGTGAAAATACATATTTCTACCACTGCGTCTACTCATCGAATTGACAAACTCATCTCAACCCGCAACTGCCCATTGGATAGCCAGACCTTTGGAAGCTATATGTCAAAGAATTCCAAAGCATAAACTTAAGGAAATGTTTCAGTGTATTGAAATATGAGGTGGACTGCCGCTCTAAGTGTGCCTTCCGGTGTAGTTGGAATCTATCTGCCAAAACTCATCATACATCGTCGAGTTAACGTTTATGCAACCCGATTCTGAGAGCTCTGTCTTGTGATATCGCTCTCTCGGAAATAAATTATACCTACCATTCCGTTGAGCTACTTTACTGTTTTCATTGTAGCCTTTGGAGATACCTACGCGAGCAGAATTGTTTATTTTCATTCGTCGTGTGGTGTCGTTCGAAAGAAAATCCAGTGCTCTTCCCAACGAGTTCTGGTTCATCCGCTTCATCATTGAGCAGTGAGATACAGTGAAGTGAGCTTCACTGATCGTTGCCAAGCTCACAATGTACACAACTCAAGTGGTAAAGTACAAGATAGAGAGGTATTGGACCCCACTGGAGGGAGGTCAACACACAGAGTACACAATCTAAGTGTATACATACCTTTCCAAGCGTTCTGACCTGATAAGAAATGACAAGAACGCCACTGCTTTCAGTTCCTTTCGGTCCTTTGGACCCCAACCAGGAAGACAGGAGACACCGATTCTACTTAATCACTCTGCATTTCTTTACGCCTCGTTTCCACGTCATCGATTGACCTCCACGTGGCTTCTACCAACCTGGAGCCGCGACTGCGAATAAGGTGCGGTGCGGTAGACGATGATTGGGCATACGCAATACGTACCCTAACCAGTGAAGCCAACTAATCTGAATTCGATGGGAAAACGAATTCTCCGTAGAATCACTAACAAATACGCGATGCCTTCCCTCAGAGTTGCTTACATGCTCACTTCATCCATCCCGCACCAAACTACGTAAACACAGGCAGTCGAAGACTTCTAGAAGACAAATATTTTCCATGCGCAAATTAAGGGTCTCGCAACCATAAAGCAGAACTGAACACACACTGGCGCAGTATACACGAACTTTTCGTTTCAAGGAAACATCACCTCTGCACCAAAGGTGTTTGAGTCCTGCGTAAGCCGCTCGTCCCCTGGAAATGCGGGGGTTACTTGTCACGCAACTACCTAAGTAGGAGAAAAACTCCACCATAGCTAACTCTTGGCCATCAAGCATCAGCGCCGGGGTAGACGACACCCAATCTTGTAGCATTACTTGCATTTTGAAGGTACAAAGCACATACCGAATGAAATTATAGAACTTGAAAGTCTGCCAAGAGCGCTTTGCGCATCCTCTATAAATTGGAACATACAAACGATGTTATCCGCGCAATCTAAATCACACAACTTTTCTCCAGCTGCTCATTCAATACCAACATTTTGGAGACCACCAAGTGCGTTCTTCAGTATTTCGGCGATGACGAAACTGAACAGGAATGCCGAAACAGAGCACCCCAGATGAACACCGCTCCTGGTTTCGAACGATTTAATTAGCTCACCGTAGATCCTCACGTCACCAGAAGTATGCAGACACAGCGACTGCGATAGGTTTACATACTTTTGCGGCATTCCTTTGCGAAGCAGCGACCCCGTAAGAGCTTCGCGATCGGCTGATTCGAAGGCTCCTTTCAAGTTGAGGAAGACCACGATTGTTGGCCAAAGATGTGTGTGAGTTCTGGTTGAGTTGACCAAGACCAATCACAAGCTTTCTACGGATATATTTGTGCTGTCCTTCCCACCACCGCACTCGCACTTGTTCTTCCTCTACGGCCAGTTAAGAGGATTGATACCCGCAACGTGAACTTTGTCATTGCTCTGTGCACTTGTGATCACTAACGACCCGAACGAATCGGCAACCAACTTCGGCTGCACGTGACCGTTTCACAATTCGTCCACCACGATGTTGGAAAAAGTGCAAGAGTTGGACGTCGCACTATGTCAACAAGTGCCGTAGCTGGTGTTTTCAGCGGCATTGAGAGTATGTGGTCTACCGAGTTGTGGGAAAGACGTCAAAAGGAATTTCATGCAAACAATGAATGAAATACTACCACCCCTCAAGTGGCAAACTCTTGGCAAAACAGCTCGTTAGACACCCAAAATGTCCATGGCTCTGTACAGAATGTGTGGAAATCCCGATTATAGAGTGAATACTTTGTATTACACATAAGTACGATGAGCTATTATCAGTCGTCAAAGAAGAGCGGATTAGATAATCGCTGCACTGGAAGCAAAAACAACGGACACTAGAAAATACCCGTGGACTGCACCGAGGTCGAATTGGCAAAAAAGCTTGTTTTCGGTGCATCACTTGCCAGGTAAATACAGTCAAGGAAACAGGGAGAAGATCACGTCTGTGTATGGGTAATATTGTAAAGGGTGTATGGAAGTTCAAATTATTCTGTGAATGTCATACGTGTTGCGGAATGAATCAAATGCATATTCGATTAAGAACTCGTTTTGTAATAGGCTTTATGGCAGGTTATGGTACATTTAGAGCTCTGACTGGCTGTTTATAAGCACGCAATGGGGAGTGTTCAACCGAATCGCGATCGCTTCCGCTGTTGATTAGGTGATGCTTGACCTGCTTTGATGGCACTCTGGTGATGGTTTAGTTGAGTCTCATAGCGACGACGTTCCATCTCGACCAAATGAGCCGTGATTGTCGTCCTCCGGTTCTCGTCAATCCGCGAATAAGCCAAAATGTTGGACGTGAGTTTACAGTTCATGCCAGTTAGCCCGATCCGGAAACCTAGTAAACGGCCTAAGTGTTTAGCGTACAGTGTCACCCTATGGCAACGGACGCGCACGACTGAACTTAGTGCGACGACAAAAGCTCTAGCGGATGCACTTGCCACTTCAGATCCCCTACACACTGTCTGTTTCTTTAACGAAAAAAACCTTTGCCTGCAAAAAAGAGAGTCGCGACTAACGGGTCCTTCACTGCGATTTGTACAAACTTAGTCGAACCCACAACTTTGTTAGCGATAGAAAAGAGAAAGGGATAGCTGCTGGAATGCGTTGCGTCCAAATGAAGATTATCGCTCAACTGGAGGGTCTCATACATACATCAGCCTTGAAACTTAGCACAATCTCAACACCAGCAAAACCGCGAGCTTCGGATGCCGAATCGCCTGACACACGGAGGGTGAAGCGTAAGGATGAAGCTGGATCTGGAAAACGGAGGGAGACGATTGAATTAGGGTCTTGTGTGCGTGTTTCGGAGACACAGCATACATCTAAATGGAAGGTTTCAAGGGTTCTAGCTACGGCAGCTTGTCAACCGATCTGGTGTGGTGTGCGGACATTAAATGCGGCTAAGTGAAAAGGAAATTTTGGTTTCAAAAATCTGAGTGGTTGACCTTATTAGTTGAACGCTGAGAGATATGCCTTTAGTGGCGCAAACCGCATGCATCTTCCAAGGTTTGGTAGTGAGAGGAGGAATTGCACAGATAGGAAAGATGTTTTCCAAATGGGTACCTAAGACTTCAGGGCACGGCATACTTTGCAGTAACCCACACCGACGAAGAGGTTTTTCTTTGGGAACCCTAATTGAAACCTTTGACTCAAAAGTCTGAATCGCAAGGCAGCGGAAATTTATGGTTTTTTTCTTGGGGAACCCTAACCGGAGTCATCAACTCAACAGTCTGACTCACAAGGTAGTGGGGCGTAAATCCAACGCGGGAGTGTGAACGAAGCACCCGTGTGGGAGCTTCTAGAGACCTATCACGCAGGGCCTTCGGCTTTCGGTTCAGTATATTTTTCGCTGGTGCGTTGGTTGATTGGTGGTTCACTGCTTAGGATTGGCCATTAGTCTCACGTACCCAATGAGACAAGCGGAACGTGGACGGGACAGTACCTTATTGGCTGGGAGCTGACCAGCTTTGGTGAGCAGTAGCTGCCGAATGAAGTGCGAAGACTTCTCCCACCGTCGTGAGGAAGCACCGGGTGCCTCACTCCTACGCCCATCTAGCGGATATTTTTTATGGGCAATTTGCCCCTCAACGTGTTTATTTGCTGGAATGACCTCTCCAGGAAGCTATGAAGCGTCCAAGCACCTGGTCTTGTGAGATTGAGCCTCGTCTGGCCCCTATCCATGGACCTTTCAGGTAGGATTGGATCTGCGGCTATGAGAAGCCGTCCTATGTGGCTCCCAGAGTTATGGAGGCACGCAAGCTATCTCCTCACGTCAAAGTGCAGTCTGGTTGTGATGGATCTGAGGCTTGAGACACCAGTCAACATGGCTGGTATCCCGCGTCAATGGGACACCTGTTGTGAGACCCTTTTTCTTTGATTGGTATTTGAACCTTTTTACGTTTATTTCTTCAGAGGTTGAGGTAGTTACCAATTCTACGCCTTCGGTTACGAGTAGAATGTATAATGACAAGGTAGTAGTTATCTCAACGCATCAAACAACGCAATTCATGTTGGCTCACACGTAGTGGGACTGTGTTAAACACATTCTGTCGCCCATTTTACAGAAGCGGGACACTCGGTTGACTCTTAGGCTCTTGGGCATTCACAACCATTTGCGGAGTCTCATTATATCCAAGGTTTAAGACGTTAGCGACCGCACAGGTGATTTGGATCAATCTCATGAAGCGTGAACCATGTGCACAGTGACCTCAAGACTCAGACCCCTCTGATCCAAGAAAGACAACATTTTTTGTGCACATGATATTGTCGAAACGTAATTTTGCTTATGTAATCTTATAACTCCACAATTTGTAGTGGCTTCAGACTCATGAAAACACACGACTCATCCCCATTTCTGTTTAACATTACTCAATTAGCCGAAGGCATATGTTCGTTTACATTGTGGTCAAAACAAAAAATTATAGTGCTCTAAAACGGTAATACGTACGTTTACAGACTCTTAAGACATGCAACACTGAGTTCTTGGTATCATCGATATTGTTCGGAATGAATGAAAATAGTGGGATAAAAACCACGTTTGGTGCGCGCGCGCACACACACACACACACGCATGAACGTACCATTGTGACAGAATTGAACAAACGGTAGAATCATGTTGCCTTGCTTGCGCAATGTGGCACAATTGCGCAAAGCGGCCTGAGTTTGCACAACTCGTGGACTGAAGTCAGACAATCGAAGAAGCGGTTGACGGTGCAATTGGTTTAATCGATCTCGAGCAATATTGCTCACCGGGAGCATACGGAAATCCCAGGCGGTCAACACGCAACCAGGCAAAACCATCAGGGTGTTGGTGTGGCACACACAGCAAAAAAATTTACCGAAAAATTCGCAGAACCGCATCCGTTTCAAGTAAGCTACGAATATTCACGGGGGGTGGGGGGGAGGCAGAGATCAGTTTACGTTTGCGTTTAAACAGACAGGCTCCATAAAAACAATCTACTTAAGAGAAGAAAAAGCGTGGTATTCAGCAAATCGGGAGACTTATGGACATTCAACATATCTATCGATCAATAATGGGTTATGAAACAAACGATTTAGCGTAGGCTAACAACAGTACACGACCACCTATACACACTAAGTCCGTGGAGGCGTGAAATAAACGAGCAGAAGGTAGCACGGGAGGATAGTAGATCGTATCAGTTCTATCGAATTACTTACCGAGTGAGTGCAGTTATTTAATTGAACTGTGTCCAAGGGAGCGCTTGAATCACGAATGAGTTTACCTAAAATTCTGTCGATCAAGATACTGGAGTTGAATGATAGTTATTTTCCCCACAGAATTTTCACTCAAGCACTCGGGGTACCTCAATTGCGCCCAGATGACAATAACCGTGACGAAAAATTGGTTCAAGACGATTCGAGACGGCACCTTTAAAGTAGATCATTTGGGTAAGTTACCACAGCTTCTCCGATGCGCGTTTAAAGCTTGAAACCCGAAAATTCAATAATTCAGTTTTCAGTTTGTACAACCACTAACCATGCACTATTGTGCGTCGGTTTTGGTTGCTGTTTTTTGATTGCCCATTTGGATCAACATGAGGAGAAAGACAGGAAAGGTTAAAAGTAGAATCCAAGATAAAATTGAGAATTTCAGTGACCTAACGTTGCAAATAAATGTAGAAGATGCATGAACGCCACTGTTAACGACACTCGGCCATATAACTCGATGTCTCTAACCATTGGTTACGGTTATCCCGAGGTCCCCAGCCAGGGAGCCTAAAGGGATCTATGTGACCCAGACTCCTGATTAGGATTTTCATACCCTCGTGTGAGGTTTAAGCTTGACCACCCTTCACTTCATTCCACCCACTACCTGCCTCGGCAAACATCGCTCGCCGTGGTACTCTATTTGGTGACATGCGTAACACATGCCCCAAACACCGTAATCTATGGAGGTCGACCACTTGCTCCAGTGGAAGACCGCGACTACCTAAAACTCTACGTCTAACCTCGGCAATGCTCGTGCGGTTCCCCACCAGATTCGAGCAATGCTGTGTAGACAGCGGTGTTCAAACACCGACAGTCTAACTTTATCCTGTTCATGTAATGGCCACGTTTCTGCACCGCATAGCTGAACTGGAAGAACTGCCGCGGCATACGATCGACCCCTCACAGGCAACCGGGTATCGCGACGGCGCCACAGATGTCTCAAGTTGGCAAATGTCAACCGAACCTTCTGTATGCGAGCTGACACTTCATCCGTGATGCCTCCACCGTATGTAATAACTGCCAAAATAAAAGTAATCCACTTGCTCCATTACTTCCCCAGTCAGGGTACGTCTCGGTGTTGGACCAACCCAGTGGTCCTTAAAACATGTGCAAACCACCTTGCACAAACCGTTTCATTTATCTTTAATACATGTCTATCAGAAGGAAAACTAGTTAACACATGGCTTGATGTTCGCATCACTCCAGTATCTAAGAAAGATCGCTTCATCTTCTGTACTATTTCAGGCTTTTGAGCGAATTATTATTATCTATCCTCTTCTCTTGATTTGTGTGATCCTCATCAGTTAGCCCTATTGTAAGCGTCGCTCTACTTTAGATGCGGTTGTTAGTCTTACACATTCATCCACTATGGACCCAAAGCACAAAATTGTTTATGTTTGCTTTTTGGACTATACAAACATTTTTAACTCTGCTGACAGAAACACCCCATTGAGGCTGTTACAGCAACATAATCTCACGCCACATATTTTGAATTGGATGTAGGATTATTTTACTGACCGACGGCAATTCAATTATCTTAATGGTACTAGGTCTTCCACTGTAAATGCAAATTAACTTGTAATGCAGGGAGCAATTCTATCCCCTTTTCTATTGCCCTTCAAATCCAAAACTTACCAATCACCCCAAATGTTTTCACATTGAAATACGGTGATGGCAGTGGTTGCTGGTGCAGCCAACAACAACGTTTCAATCAGCCATAAGTTCAATTTCTGAATGGTCCGACGGTGTTTACCTTTCTTTAGACCTTAACAAATGTATTGAAGTTTTGTTTTCCATTATTCGTAGGCCATCAACATTTTCCGGATCATCTGTTCCCAACACATTAATCAACAACACTTCAGATACCTTGAGTGTTTTCTGTCTGCTGATCTCAAATGTGCCTACCATGAACTAGAAACATTTCTTAAAGTTAGAAAGTTGGCCCTTTACATCCCACGCCTTCGACATCTGAGGGTGCTATTGTACATCATTTCTAAATTTATTAACTCGTGAGCTTTATACCACTGGACCTACTGCTCCCCAGTTATCTTCTCCGAACTTTTGTCTGAGGATATCATATTGATCAGACGCTGTTTGAAAAGTATCTCGAGATATGGAGCTGTGCCATATGCAGCGCTGGTCGACTCCATTGTCAGCCAACACCTTAAGGCTTGTGACCGTCTATGTGACTCCATTTCGTCTGATGCATCACATCCTTTACACTCAACTTTCGCACCCGCTCCATTTCCACTTCAGTGACCCGTAATAAATTTTAACATTTACATAGTCACACCACAGTTTTTTACAAGTCCGTTAAGCTTGATCTTTCTCGTTTATTGGTTCCCAGGGAACAAATATCAAACGAACTGATAAACAGTTTCAGATAAATTGTCCGGCTGAAGTTTTCTACATTTGCTACGCGTTCTCGTTGGCTATTTGCAAAATATCATATCTTTAAATCCATTTTGATAGCATGTGCGCCAAAGCAAAAGTGATAACATTTTTTCACTGAAAACTCTGTTCATAATGGATGAACAAACTGCACTTTTGACTTGACTTCGTCATTAAACTGATAGGTATACTGACAATTACGTTTTTTACAGTGTAAACAGCTATTAAGACCAACACGAGATCAGAAGATGTTAAATACTTTCAAAGGAAAGAATCAAAGGAATTCGATACACTTACAGGTTTCAATGAACAGTCCGCAACCAGCACAACAATTCTTCTGATTGAGGAGGATCAATTTCCGCCTACAGTGAGAGAAAGAAAAGAGAAGCGGGTTAGGAGGAAAGCGATTGCTTGGGCAACAACCCACTGAACACCTTCCCATTCTCCGTCTCTTTTTCCAATTCAGACAAGCAGGTGGACGGGTTGCTCAACACACACATAAGATCAAATGTCTGTTGGATCACACCGCAATGCCAGGCTATTGGTTCGGTGAATTAGAAACACTCCTTCACTTGGTATACATGTATCCACGTTTTGGCTGTCAGTCGGTGACCACAGTCAAGCAGACAAACTTCAGCAAATAAGAAGAACCGGTGACTGGGTATCCGAAACGAACTGATGATTGCCTGTGGTCAATCTTTCGAGGAAACCAACAGACCATCAACCAGACAGTTGCGTTGTCCAAAATGCGGAAAGATACCCATATTGGTATGCATTATGCATGCACGGCTTCCTTCGTATAACAGTCCAGTGTTGGAGTGGACAGACAGGTATACTATCCTTGGTCGCAACAGTGACTGTTTCAAATGAAGATTGATATTTTTTTATTAAAAAATTACAATTGCATCCCTGTAACCAAAATCAACGACTAATTGCGAAAAGCTCAGATTGGACCGATAGAGTTGCAACAAGGCCAGACAAAGCCGAAAAGCCGATTCGTACTAGTATTGACTCATACAATCGTGATCCATCGAGGCGTGGAGACCAAATCGACAGAGGAGA